CTGTTAGCTACGGGAACTGACTTTATAATCAGATCTACATAGATTTGCATCTCTGTCTCTAAAGTCTTCTCTGCTTTTGTGGGAGGCACTGCTCTGGAAAGTGCATCTGCAGTGAACATGAATTTACCGGGCATGTAGGTCACAATCAAATCATACTTTTGCAGCTTTATCATCATTCTTTGACTCCTTAAGGTACAGTCATTTAGCGGTTCGCTAAATAACTCTATCAAGGGCTTATGGTCCATTTCAACTTCCACTGTCTGTCCATAAATATACTGATTGAATCGCTCATAGGCAAACAATATTCCTAAAAGCTCCTTCTCAATCTGTGCATATCTGGTTTCTGCCTCAGTCAGTGATTGGGATGCATATGCCGCTGGTTGCCAATAATCCTCATATGTCTGTAAAATCATGGCACCTAACCCAGACTGTGAAGCATCTACTGAGATTTTAATAGGCCTTTCTGGTGCATAGAACTTCAACACTGGTTCTTGTATCAGTTGTTGTTTTAAACCTTCCCATGATTCCTCCTGTTCTGCACCCCAACACCATGTGTTTTTATTCTCTAGGAGTTTTCTCAAAGCTGCTGCTTTGGTAGACAGATTAGGTATGAACTTTCCAACATAATTAACCATTCCTAGGAACTGCTGGACATCTTTCTTCGACTGGGGATGTGGCATCATTTCAATGGCTGAAATCTTCCTCTTATCAAGTGTTACACCTTCATTGGAAATAACATCCCCAACAAAAGTCAGTTCTGTAACCCCTAAAACACATTTCTCCCTGTTTAGTTTGAGGTTTGCAGCTGTAGTTGCATCCAGGACTTCCTGAAGTCCTTTTCCATTGAGCCCCAGATGATGATGATGTCATCCATTGAGGTTTTCAACACTATTAATATGTTCATAGATCATATGTATAGTTTTGTGGTACATTTCTGGTGCTGAAGCTATGCTGAAGGGTAAGTGTAAGCAGGGCCGGCGCCAGCATTTTTGCCGCCCCAACCAGCCAAAAAAAAAAAAAAAAGCCGCGATCGGCGGCACTTCGGCAGCAACTCTACCGCCGCTGCTTCATTCTTCGGCGGCAATTCGGCGGCAGGTCCTTCCCTCCGAGAGGGACTGAGGGACCCACCGCCGAACTGCCGCCGAAGAGGCGTATGTGCCGCCCCTTTCTGTTGGCTGCCCCAAGCACCTGCTTGCTGCACTGGTGCCTGGAGCCGGCCCTGAGTGTAAGAATGTATATCTTCCAAATGGGGTATTAAATGGGCATAACTTTGAGCTTTCGTCAGTTAATTTTAGGTGCCAAAATCCTGAGGATGCATCCAATTTACTGAAACATAGGTGCTGGAACTTGGGGTGCTGGGAGTCCTGCTGCATCCCTTGGCTTGAAGTGGTTTCCATCATACACAGGGTTTACAGTTTGGCTCAATAGCTCTCAGCCCCCCCCCACTATACAAATTATTCCAGCCCCCTGTACTGAAATATTGTGCATTTGCAAATTGAGCCATAATCTCTTCTCTGGTTGGTAGTTTGAAATGTTCTCTTATTATAGCCTTGTTGAGGTCTCTGGGATCTAAGCATATGCATAGCTGGCCGTTACTTTTCTCCACAATGCCTAGCGAGCTCACGCATTCTGTTGGTGCCTCAATTTTTTGTATTACTTGCATTGCTTCCATCCTTGCAAGCTCAATCTTGAGTTTATCACAGAGTGCAAAGGGCACTTTTCTACATGGATGGAGAACTGGAGGGACCTCCTTGTTTATCCGAATTGTATGTTCACCCTGCAAGCAGCCCAACTCTTGAAACAGATCATGATATTCCCGAAAGAGTGCCTCCTAGGCAGGTACAGTACGATCATGTATTGAGAGCACCCGTTTTACCAGACTGAGTTTTTCACACTCAGCCAGGCCTAAAACTGGTGTCACCTCCTTTGGCACGACAATGAACGGGAGCCTGTATGTGGTGTTTTTATGGTTGATACTAGCAATGCACCTCCCCTTCACTGGTATGTTTGTTCCAGAATAACCAGCTACTTTTTTTTTCTGTTGGTCCCTGTTTTGGTCTTATCTTCAGTCTCTCATAATCTTGTTCAGACAGAATGTTAACCTGAGCTCCTGTGTCCAGTTTCAGAGGAATTATTGTTCCATTCACTGTCATAGGCAGTATCCAGTCCCTTTCATCAGGCTTGCTTGATTTCAGTGTGTTTATGAAGAATTCCTCAACCATGTTGTCTTCAACTGAATGCTTTCTGCATTGGCATCTGCAGCATTTTGCAAAATGATTATCTCCCCCACATTTCTGACAGTTTCCCAAAGGCAACACACTATTTGGGGCCACGCTGTGAGCCACACCTTCCACATCACCGTTTATACCCAGTCTTCCCCTAGCAGTGGTTTTCATAGCAAGTAGTTCTGCTTTCTGGTTTGACCTATCCTGGCTATATTCTTTTGTACTTAGTACATGGATAACCCCTTCTGGTGAATCCAGCTCTTTAGCTTGTGCTTTCACAGTTTCTGGAGAGCTTTTTCTAAAGTTAAATCTCCTTCACAGAGCAGTTTCTCTCTTAACACGTTGGTTTTAATGCCACAAATGAATGTTTGAAAACAGTGAAAGCATGAAGGATAGCTCAGTGGTTTGAGCATTGGCCTGCTAAACCCAAGGTTGTGAGTTCAATCCTTGAGGGGGCCACTTAGGGATCTGGGGCAAAATCAGTACTTGGTCCTGCTAGTGAAGGCAGGAGGCTGGACTCAATGACCTTTTGGGGTCCCTTCCAGTTTTATGAGATAGGTATATCTCCATATATTATTATTATTAAGTAAAATACTGACTAAATCTGAGGAAGATTGCATGCCAAAAAGGAGTGAAACCTTTGAGAGAGACCATTTTTTTACATGCATGCAAAAAACTGATGACACTATGGAGCAATATGTCATGGAATTAAGAAGACTCAGTCAGACCTGTGACTTTGGTGAGATGACAGAGGCTCTGTTGAGAGATAAAATCATTTGTTGCCCCAGGAGCAACTTGGCCCATGGACTTTGCTCACAATGTTGTGCCCATAACAAACTGCCTGGGCAGCTGGCAGCTCTTAGACACCCATTTGTACTCCCAAATCAGGCAAGTAGGTGTTTGCACCCTACTCATTTGTGTGCACAATTTGCTCTGGGCACAACAATTTAATTAAGAGGCTTGGATAAAATATATAAACTCTAACTGCAGGGTGCAGCCAAACTTTCTATCTGTTCTTAAATCATGCTTCCCTCCCACCAGCCCAGTGAGAATAGTCTTGGAAAATGAAAATAGAGTAAAAAACAAACATATTGGCAAAAACAACGGTATTTTCAAATCTTCAAATTTGTTTCTTATTAAATGAACAAAGCAATAAGAAATGAAAGGCCTGGGAGACATTAGCCTTCAATAAGACATTGCTTTTAAAAGGGATTTTGGGGGAGGATGGGCATTCTGCGTATCCTTCATGTCTGTTCCCAACTCTGGGAGAACAGTCCACAAACAAGTAAGTGCCAAATGAGTTTGCGTTAGGTCATCAGGGTAAAATACTCTTTGATTAAACGAACATAAAGAGATCTTCTGTAACCTTTTAAATCAGATTATACCCGATGGAGGGCTCATCTACAGGTAAAGTTAATATCTCAGAAACTTTGCCCAATTGATTTGTATGTGAATTAGTGGGGGGGCCTCGATTTCTGGATGGGTTTCAGAATCCTTTGTATATTCATCCTTCAGGCAAGATACTAAGCTGAAAATGCTTTCTGGGCATCCCCAGCATGGGTGAGAGATCCCTTGGCACTTAGCACGCATGCTCTTGCTCTCTGTGACGGTAGTGCCACTGAGAGTGTCCAACCCAGATTGTTGCTCTTGGTTGGGTCAGTTTAGGAGAGCAATCGAATGACTGATTCCAGATTCAGCGTGTTTGGCTTGGCAGTGAAGTTAGAAGCGTAGCTTCAGCCTCTTGCTTTGCAATTCAAACACGGCAGGGAGGATGGACTCTGTGTGAGCCATTCGCTGCCGTGCTAGGAACTCTCCAAGCAAACAAACCAGGAGCAGGTGGCGTGTGGCACTGTCAGCTTTAGTGGGCTTGATCCCCAGCTCCCGGCTGCCCTCCAGATGAGATCCTGAACATCTCCCCTCCTCACCCTCCCTGGAGGTAGCTCCTGCAGCACTAGCCTTCAGATGATTTATAACCAATGGAGCGATAGGGAGGCAGGGCAGATAGGGAGAGAAACCTGCATACTCAGAGCACATGTGTTGGGTGAAATTCTCCTCATCTCCTTCAACCCCCCCTTCAGGCACTGCAAAAGAGACACATCGCAAGGTCCCAGACTCACAGCCGTGTAATCCTCAAAGTCCCTGGGGGTACCAGAGCCCCAAGGGCTGCAGCGTCACTACCGTGAGTGGTAGGGCTGGGAACCACCACGGTACCAACCTAAAGTACTTTTGCCATGAGGGAAACTAGGTGTTTTGCTTTTCCATAGACCAGATGTAGCACAGACAGCAGCAGTGCAAGCTACCCCTCCACTGCCCGTCAGCTCTCTCCGGCATGTGTGTGGCCCCCATCACCACAGCATCTCACAATATTTAGCTAGCCACGCAACACCCCTGGCAGCCTGAGGCACAGAGAGACTAAGTGACTTGCTCAAGGTCATACAGGAAGTCTGTTGGGGAGCAGGGGCTTGAACCTAGACCTCCTAAATCCTACATTAGCACTCTAACCACTGGACCACCCTTCCTCACACTGACCCGGAAGTGGGACCTGCCTTGGCCAGAAGAAGAGTGAGGATGAAAGATAATAATGGGGCATGGGGGGCAATTAACCAGACCCTCCAGAACCTTGAAGATTCAGCTGGGGCTTCGGTCAAAGCTTCAGATGCAGGGGTGGGAAGGGATAGATTTTATCTGAAGTGATTCACTCATCATTAGGCCTACGGTGAAACAAGAGGCCTTCTAAGCGGTGGCCCCCCTCCCCCCACCCTCTGCTTTTCTCACCTGGAAGGTCAATAATGAGCCATCCATCCTCTTCCTCCTCCTCAGAGACAAAGGGTTTGGGTTCCTCCAGGCCCTCAGGTGTGCTGCTGTCACTGAAGAAGAGGCTGGTGAGGCGTTGGAACATGGCTGGGGAATAGTTTCCAAGGTGAGCTTTGATGGGAAGAGAGAAGAAAAACCCAGCGTCGAGTGCCTGCCTCAGAGCACGGAGATGGACGTTGCTGGTGGGTGCCGGGTGGGAGAGTGACGCTTGAGAGTCCTGTCTGGGTGGACGAGTCCTTCCGAAGGGCAGGAACCCCTTCCTTCCTAGTGAAAGCTTAGCTGAGTCGAGTTATGTATAGTGCAATCATGAGGTTCTTCACTTGGCTTCAGTGCAAAGGCCTGCGAAGAAAGGAGAAATTCATTCATGCCCTGTGGAAAGCCAGAGCTTCCTGCATCACGAGGGATTCAGATGGGCTGCAGGGAGGAGGGAGAGGAAACCCTGATCTGGATCTCAAGGACAAGTCGCTGCAACCATTCTCTTTTTATAGGGTACTGTGTGATGGGGAAAGCACAGCCCCTCAGGGCTGGCGGCTGCAGCCCCTTGATCTCTGACAGTGTCACTCTTACCACCCAGACACCTCCTGTAATGCTGAGTTCACTCAGTGTTTCCCTTCCCCTCCCCGTGCCTCAGGCAATGACCTTCCCCTCACCCCCTTTTGCTTTTATTCATTTTGACCTGTTTTCCTCGAGAGCAAACAAACCAGCCTAGCGCTGGCGCTCGCACAGAGTTTGCAAAGTGCAGGCTAGGTCTCCGGCACTAAATAAGGAATAAGAGATGAGCAGACTGTATCTCAGGAGACCTAGGTTCTAGTACTCGCTATGCCACTGACCTACTGTGTGACCTCGGGCAAGTCACTTTCCCTTGCTGTGCCTCAGTTTCCCCTCTGTAAAATGGGGATGTTGACACTTCCCCATCTGTGAAAAGTGTTGTGAGATCGAGGGGTGAAAACTATGATATTGTGCCAAATATTATTATTATGAAAAGCTAGGGATGGGCTAAGGGGCTGGACTGGACAAACACTCAAATGTTCAGATGGTCACACAGAGCACATGATGCACTCATGACTGTAGAGCCGGGCAGGAAAACGCATGAGAATAGACTTTCCCGGGTTATGTCAGTGCTGCTTCCTCTGTTCAGAAGCAGGAAGCCAAAAGGCATTGAAAATGACCAGGCCACCCTCTATCCCTTTCCCCCACGGTGAGTTAACTAAACAAGGATTAAGGTTTGGGTCACAGCTATTGGGGTGGGTAGTCACCCCTTGAGTCACAGGCATCCTCGTGTCTTCCCACCGTGTGCTCCTACTTGGGTGAGAGTTGGAGGTGTTGGAGGGAGGGGGTCCAATAAATCTTAATTACAGTGGTGGAAATTAGACCCTGAGCCAGGTTCTGATCTTCATCCCCCTGGCATAAATCTGGAGCCTGTTGATTTCAATGGAGTTACTCCAGATTTACACAGCAGAATCTGGGGCAGCAGATGAAAAGCTGGAAAGGGATTTGAAAGGGCATAATGGCATGATCCTATCAGGAAGCTGATTAGAATTTAGGTCTTAGGGTTTGATCAACAGAATTCACCCCTTATCAAGAGGAAACAGATGAGACACTAAATATATACACCCGGAAAAAGTAGGCATCTGCTGACAGGCAACTCCTGGGCTGTAAGTCTCAGCCGGCAGGATTGTTAAACTGGCTGAATGTCTCTTTTGCAGACAGAGAAGTAGCTTCACACAAGAGAATAATAAATAGCAATTACAAATAGCCATGGTCTCCCCATTTTTCACTGAAATGTGTTGAGTCAGTCCACTAGTTCTCTCCAGCTCTAATAAATACTTAGACCTCAAAGCACTTTGCAAAGCTGCGTATCATTATCCCCATTTCACAGCTGGGGAAACTGAGGCACAGAGCAACTAAGTGACAAAAGTGAGAACAGACTTCCCAATTCCCAGTCCATTGCTCTCTCCGCTGGGCAAGGCTGCTGCCCGGGAGCTAACAACCTCTATCAATGGCTGTGCTAAGGGATGAGGGCCCTGTGGTTGGATGGGGTGGGTTTTAATTTAATATTTATCTACTCTGAGAACAATGAGTAATGAAAGATTGCAGGAAAAGTGCTTCATTGCGCAGTGCCCTCAAAGCAGCCCTTTCCCTGCTGGAGTGCAGAAGAGATGACATAGCCACTTATCTAACCACCCTCTCGCCCAGATTTTGCAGGCTCGTATAAATTGGACCCACATCCAAGCCACCCTGGGCTTGGAAAGAAAATGAACCGAAGGGGTTTTGCAGAATCAAAAGCACATGCGTGCTGGCCCATCTCCATTGCATTTGCATTCGTGCCTTGGGCAGGAAGGAACAGTGTGGAAGAGAAAGCTGCCTCATTCAACAACCAGGGGGAGAGGGGTAGATGGGCCAAGGAGCTGGGGGAGGGGGGAGACTGAATACAGGCTGGCAGGGCTGAGAGAGAATCTGGGGTGGGAGGGAGGCTAGGACTGGGAGTCAGACGAGAAGGCTGGGCAAGGAGACCAGGATTGGGAGCTGGGGAGATCAAAGAGAGAGCTTGGGGTGGGGTGGAGACCGAGACCGGATAAGGATCCAGAGGAAAGAGTCAGACTGCCTGGCAAGGAGACTAGGACTGAGGAACCTGTGGGGTGGAGGAAGAAGGAGATGAGACAAATCTGCTGATGGGCTGGGGCACAGGGGGAGAAATGGGAGTGGCTGGGCAAAGAGGCTGGGAGGAGGCACACTGAGATTGGATAGGGAGACTGGGACTGGGACCCAGGGGAGGTGGAGAACATGGAGTGGGGGGAAAGAGACTGGAGGCCAGAGGAGGGAAAGAGCTAGATTGGACAAGGAAGCAAGAAGGAAGGAACTGGGGGCAAGAAGCCAGGGAGGTAGGCGGGAATGAGAATGGTTGGGCAAAGAGCCTGGGCTTGGGGGAAGGGACTGGGAAGGAGAGTCCAGAGGGGTGGGACTAGAACATGCTGGACAAAACCAGGATTGAGATGAAAAGTCTGAGGAGTGGAGACTGGGACTGGAAAAGAGAGGAGAATGAGAGTGGGACAAGGAGCCTAGGGTGAGGAGACACAAGACAGGGACTGGTAGGAGGGGATAGGGCAGAAGGGGTCAAGCTTTGGGGAGGGTACAAACAGACAGAAGTGTTCTGTGCCCACTAGAGCACATTCCCCTTCAGAGCCTGGGCTGGAACCCAAGAATTGAGTCTCACCCCTTCCTCTGCTGACAGCAAATATCTGTGAAAGCCCCTGGCAAAGTGTCCTATCCCCGCTCTAGTGCTACTCCATATAAAGGATAACAACCTACTACTGCTATCATTTGCTCAAGTGGCAGAGGTCTGTGTGGTGAATCTAAAGGTTCCAATGTGGCTGATGACCCATCTGGGTGTCAATGTGATGCCACAAGGTGGACTTCCTGATTTTTCAGTTTGCTTTTTTAAACACCTAGGAAATGACATACATGCACTCACATACAAAGTAGTTAAAAGAATATTATTAAGGCTGCAAAGTCAAGTACTCAGAAGTCAGGGTAGCTGGCCCTTTAAAAGGCAATGGGTCTCATGCCCACCTGTAACACCGCCAACTCTCCTCCCCAGGTGGGGAAAATTAACCAAGTCATGTGACCTGTGGGTCACCACACCGGATCAGGCCTCTGGTGGATAAGGAAGAGGCCTGGGCTAGCAGATGGCTATAGAGAGAAGAAGGTTTCTGTGGATGATGGGGAGTTGCTGCTGGTGAGCAGGAAGACAGACCCTTGGGAAGGAGAGGCTCTGCCTAGCTAGATACTGGGTGAGGACTCTTCATTTTGAGCTTATTTTGTGTTTGTGAGTCTTTGCTACTTGTGTAGGGCCAGGGGGAGCTGGATTAGAGGAAGATAGAGAGGCCAGCTGGAAGAAGCTGACCTGAAGCAGAGCACAGCCCCTGGTAGAGGGCTGTGGGCTTCCTTGACTGGGAAAGGACCCCAGAAGGGAAACTCTTTTTTTTAATACCTCTGGCCTGTGTGGAGTATTTGAGGAGGTCTGAGTGAAGGGAAACTAAGGCAGGGGAGTTGCAGCACCTTCCCAGGCTATAAGGGGTGACAGGAAATGCATAGGCAATGCCTGGCATTTCCTAGTTACTGCAACCTTGGCTGTGCAACTTTAATAATGCTCTTGTAATGTGGTTTTGTGTATGTAATTAGAACTATGTACAGCAGTGCAGTAAGAAGAAAATAACCCAACAAAAAGCACATGGGCTAGTTTGTTACAATGATGTTATGGTCCAGATCTGTGAAGACCTTGGTGTGTAATACAAACCTTGTGATACATGTTCTTCCCAAATCAATTAACTGTGTAGCAGAGGGTGGCAGAGACTTGGCTATGCTATAAACAACTGAGAAAAGATCTGGCTCCTCTGGTAGTGTAAAGGGCTGGTTAATGTGTCCCAGGTGGCTGGGCAAGAACTCCCCCAGCACTGGACTGCCATAAGCAGCCCCATTATGCCCCTGTTCCGAGCCCTGGGATATTGTCTATGATGGTAGTGCTTTGAGACCAGCCATGGTCAATGCCCCATTGTACTAGGAGAAACAAAGTAGTCCCGTCCCTGCCCCCAAGCAGCTTATCATTTAAATAAACAAGACGAAGGGGGTAGGGGAAAGGGTCTAATGCACAAGCAGAGAGAACTGAGTGATGGCTTGTGAATGTCCTGATAGTCCCAAAAGTTCTATCCTGGCAGTTTGGTATTTTGCATATGATGGTTTTAGGAGGAGACAAACTGAACGGAAAGACAAAAGAAGGTGAGAGAACAACTTAGGAAGGGACTCAGCCAGGCCCGTAATGCTCCAGGGACTCTGGGATGCACTACGGTCTATAGGCAGCTCAAGGACTTCGATAAGTTAAACAGCTGGGGCGGCTCTCATCTATATCAGGGGTCATTTGAATCCTTTGAACACCACAGAGTTCAGAGGGTGCAAAGATGACTTAATGCCACCATTCCCTCGCCTCTTCCCCATGGCTGCATCTCCTGGGGGCACTGCACAGAATTGGCTCCTTTAGAACAACCTCTGACAACTCCATTACGTTAAAGGGGAGAGAAGGTCAAATAAAATATTTGTCCAAATGGTCAAATAAACAGAGTTACATTCCAGTGCTGAATACTTGAGTTTGTCTCTCTTTCTAGATTTGGGAGGAAGCATTGTCTAGTGATTAGAGCATAGTGTTCAGAGCCAGGCAATCATTGTTCAGTTCCTGCCTCTAGCCGAGGGCAGGCATTTCACCATGTTATGGCTTGTTACCATCCCAATTTTACTGATGGGGCGGGGGAAGGGGGGAGTAATTCTCTAACTCGGAGTGGGACTGG